CATGCACCGGACAGTGGTCACTACATATCGAAAAGAATCCAGCACTCCCGAATTCCGTACTTTATTAAAACATGTGACAAATATGAAATCAATCAATGTACGATAATGAGAAGTGATCCGCCTGGAGTTCAGATAGTAGTTAGCGAGTCAGTATGCAGCTTCTAAATAATTAGGTTTTGTTAATTTTCGCTCAATAGATATAAATTAAAATTTCCTACAATGATAATATACATATTTAAATCCACAGCATTTTCAAGCTGTTGTCAATAGAGATCCCATTATAGTTCACTTCTGTCTGCTCTATAGAATGTATCTATTGGATATGTTTGTTTTAAAATTTATAAGTTTTTATCCATATTGCCTCGAGCCCAGTTGTATACAAATCATCCATTTACATTGCACACATATTATCTTTAACAAACACTACAGCTCCACCGCCTCGGCTTTCTCTATCTTTACGAAATGGCGCTTGAAAACCCGGAATATTGATTTCTTTGTTATCTATCTCCGGAATGTAACCATGTTTCCGGTCAGACATATACATCATAGGGCGACAACTCAGTTTCTAATATGTCTAATGTTTCTTTCAAACATTCAGATGTATTATTTTCAGATCCCTATGAATAAAGGTCCCGGTGGGTATAAGTCCCCACGACACAATAAAGGGTTGAGATAAAGATACTCACTGTAGGATATATAGACAAAGAAATCTCGAGGCTGTGTCCAGAGCCGTAAAATGTATGAAAGCTTTTATGTGCGCTTTGCCTGCAAACTGTCCACTGCCTGCCTGTACTGTACTATGTCAACCGTCATCTTTATGCCGTTCTTCGTGGGCAGAATAGATATACATGCATTATTATGCTTGAATGCAACACAAACTAAAATGGTAACATGTTTGGTGCGATGGTAACATCTGCTGCATTTACATCTTGAAATTTGATTCAGATTTGACAAATTACTCAAATCGATATGTACAAGGACAAAAAAGAAAGGCAAAGGTAACACACAACATGGGTTTGAAAGGTAACAAACTCGTAGAGGATAGATCTGGACAACATTTGTGATATAGTAATATAGCCCGTGCTGAAATAGACAACCAACTGCTAACAACACAGGAGAGTTAGGGGCTGCTCGCTGTACATGTGTTATGAAAATAGTTAATTGAAGTTTGAAATAGTGAGAACTAACCTTTTCAAACGTAAGAATGCATTATGTTAACTATCGGTAATTGACAAAAATATTTGTCATAAAGTAGGGGTTAATGTTGGACTAGAGGTGACGATATTTTACTATTGAATCCTACAACTAAGATTTAGTAAATTATACATGTGTATTTGGAGTTGAATGTGGGAGTAATGGGTATTGTGAGATTTGTTTTAGTCTTATCATTTTCCTATTTTCAAGGTAGAAGTTACATTAGATTATATTCACATTCTCATGTCACGGTGATCATATGTACTACTACAGTAGGAGTAAATCAGTGGAGAAATATGCATGATCCATAACAGTAAAGTACACAAGCAGAGATCTCTTTATAAGTAGCTTGTTTTATGATACCATAACCTCAAAGTAAGCGTTTCGAGTTAGTGAGGACAAAACAACAAATACGCACTTCTTGTGTGGGGATGATGGAGAAAGGGAACATCAGACAGCATTTTCGTGATATATAGACAAAACAATCTTGTCATAGATTATTATAAAAAAAACACAACACAAATTCTCCTTTTACCACCATATTGATCAGATCTCTAAGGCAAATGGCATTTGTGATAAACTATAGTCTTAGAGTGTCAATGCTCAATGTTAATAAAAGATTGTTGGGCTGTAATTGGGAGGCGCCTCATGATGATGACCAATTGGGTTACTCAATCTTTATAATTATGAGAATGGTATAGAGGGTGTCATTTGATCCAATATGTACATTTAATCATTTGGAGTTCTCCAATGATATAATATAAATGCCTTCAATTTATTACATAAGTGAGGCTGAGAGATGAACGACTCTTTATGATCCATTTGCCTGTTTTTGATAAAATTGGTTACTTGTGAAGGGAGATAATGTTTATATATAATACCATAATTAATTAATTCAAGTCGGAGACGAGAATGTATGATTTGATAAAGTCTGCTACCGAAATTTAAGTAACAATGACTGTAGATATTAGAATCATTTAAAGAAGTACATTTTGAATCTCGATGTTCAGCTGGTAATGAAATCCATAATTTAACAGTATCTGGAAGAAAAGGACCTCGCATAATTTACAGATTTTACAATTTATAGGTCTGAAGATTTGAAACACCGCGCAGATTATAACCAACGATATCCTGATACTCTAGAAGCGGAACAAGGTTACTAAGGTAACTTGGCGTAGTGTTATAAACCATTTTTGTAAAACATTGTCATTTTATGAAGGTACCTTCTACGTCCACAAACGACGGTGACAGTTAGTTTCTTTGTATATTTTATGATGGCTGGTGCCTACACGAACAGCACCACGCACGGTTCTTAGAGCATCAAGATTGAGCTTTTCAAGGCGTATATCTGCTTGGATAGTACAATTATCCCATATATGACTGCTATAATAAAAACTGGTAATATGAACTGTTTGTACATGGTTTTCTAATCTTTTTTCGGTTTAAACGATATTTGAGACTTCTTAGACAATTCACCATTGGTGCAACTTTTTTCAGCACAGTCGTTAATGTGTTCAGTCCATGAGCAATCATGCTGGAAGTATAAGACCTAAATGTTTATGGCCTTGTACGGAATTCATGACATTACAATTCATGGTTAGAGTTCGGCATTGGAGTTGGTTGCAATTTACAGTAAAAGCATATTGACTCTGTCTTATTGGGATTAAAAGATACTTGCCATTTTTCTGCCCATTCGGCAATTCGCTGTAAATCATTTCATGAATCGATATGTTTTAAAGCAGAGAAAGTAACCTCGCTTGAACCTGCCATGTCCTTCATGCATTGGTTTGGGAAGCTCAATATATGTTTTCATACCAAAGTTCCTCAGAAGAATACAACATGGAGTTCTTCATATAAATGATGCCGTCGTAATGCCGTATTATACCCCCACAATACCCCAAACGTAACATGGGTCTTCAAGGAAATGCTATTTTTTGTAGTTTGTCTTAACGGGGGTGTTTTCGCGAGTTTTAATTATGATCCTATCCCCGTTTATAATAGCATAAAATCTCAACTGACAAAGCAGACAGCAAATAAGCCGTTTTAGATCACCAACAGAAAGTCCCTTTACCCATCAAATCAAAATTTGACAAATGCGAAATCCTCTCCACCCAAGAACCAGGACTTCACAAAAAGAAACTTTATGAAGCCATCGAAATCCGCCGTCATAAATCTTTGATCAATAAAGACCCAGGATACTAAGACATACCACCGGCATATGAAGAACTATTCAAGCCATATACCCTATCAAAGCACCCTATCTGCTTGTTGTTGCAACTTATTCCCCTTGTTTATTGAGCTTCACCACCAGTCCCATTTGTTGTAACAGTCCCCAACTGGCCTCTCCGGATTATGTACCAGTTGTTATTCGATTGCATGCTGTTGTTAATGTTAATGTGTTGTTTGTCAAAACCACACCTAAACTGACGTCCCAAAAACTTTACAACTGTCAAACCTGAAAAATGGAAAACTGAAAAAAACACCAGGTGAAACAAAATTTAATGTAAATACATAGCCCAAACCGCAGCAATGTTGTATGCAGAATATGGTCACCGAAAGTTGAAAAAACACGTCGTCGAAGATTGAGATGGGCCCAGAAATGTACGACTATGGCAGCGACCTAACTGGCAGAGAGTCGTCTTCACTCTGACGAGTCGATTCTTCTTATACAGGGCTGATGGTCGACAACGTGTGTATTGTGCAAGGGTGTGAACATGAACGGCAGCTTGTTGTGTTCAAGAGGTCGTTCCGTATGCTGGAGGTGGTGTTATGGTTTGCGGCGGGATTTGGGGGACAAGAGGACGACATTGGTCATCGTAAACGCGGAAACTTGACAGCTCAGCGGTACATTGACCAGATTCTTCGCCCAACTGCCCTTCCATTTCTCCAACAGCAGCCACGTGGTGTCCTTTACCAGCATGATAACGCCCAGGCCCAATAATAGACCAGGAATCGTCCAGAACTTCTTTGGCAGCAAACAACGTCAACGTTTTGCCGTGGGCGGCACGTTCCCCAGACATGTCACCGATTGAACACCTCTGGGATGCCATGGATCGGCGTGTTCGACAGCGACCACAACCATCAGCCAACAGACAAGAGCTCATCCAGGCGCTTCAGGAAGAATGGCAACGTATGCCACGTGACGTCGTCGGACGACTAACTTTCTGTATTGCGTCGGATGGGTTCTTGCGTGTGATGAGGGCATCGGGGGTACGCACGTTGGTTATGGTCCGTGTTTTAGAGCAAGGGGGACTTTCCGTGCAGCGTCTAGTTCCTATGCAATTTTTGAACATTCGATTTTGACCTCCCCACCTCAATATCATGAGTTGCTGTGGACAACGGTATTAGACGGTGTATGATTGTCATTTCCAGTGTTCTTTACGTTGGACATTGTGATCTTTCAATAAATTTCTTTCAATACGTCTATCTTCTGTAGTTTTTCCCTCCAAGTCGATTTCAATCTGTTATAAAGAGAAGGGTTTTGGACGTCAGTTTATGTAGGCACATAAGGCACTATCAAACGATCCTGTAACAGTAGATGTCAACGTATGTATGAAGTCAACAAGTTTTATGACGCTTCAGATTGAAGTTAAAATACATAGGCATTGCTTTTCATTTATGTTTACCAAGATTTCAGATTGTTCATATAGAAGGAAGATTGTGATACTTGGATGTGAATTCACGTTTTTAAATTCCCATAGCACTTTCCAATTCAGAGATGGATGTTATTAGGTTGGAAACATATACAAAACGTTTATGAGCGTTCCTATTTACTATATTCAATTTAGCAAATCAACACGTATTCATTATTCCTGTTGCTCTGAAGAAGCTATTCATTTACGGTACTTTTAAGCAACAACTTCGGTTCAGAACTTTACTTCGAATTTAATACTAAGCATAATTATATCTCTCTGTAAGGTTATTCCAAAATATGGAATAAAATTATGAAAGAAAAAATTAATGCTATCTACAAATCCATGTTTCACCCTCTTGCTGATGTTGTTCTTAGCCCGAATCAAGCATCATGTGACGGGCGTTCCTGGATCATGGGCATTGTGACAAGTCCAATGCCTGTATTTGGAGCTCTGCACTGCCTGGAACTGTAACGTGACCTGCACAGTCCTTTTCTTACAGTTCTCAAAAGTGACTAACACGAATTGAGGGAAAATATATCGATATATCATCGTTTGGTATATATTAGCCAAGAAAGATATGGATGTACACTTGTATTCATCAATGAAAATAAATCTGTATCATCAATCAAAAGTAAACCATTCTGATCATTCTTTTACATCATTTCGGAGACATTACACCCTTATCTGTCCATAATTGGAAACGAACAAATCAGGCAATCAACGAAGGGGTGATGAATTGAATACCTACCACTCATTTCGAATTCAATACAGACCTTAGTAATCCAACTCATAGTTAATGAATTCTTGAAATGCTCATTCATGATTAAGCAAGCCATTTGGCATCCATATTTGATGGCATGGCCTTCATTGTAGTAATTGCGTTCTGTTACATCCGCTCCAGCCGATGTAAAATTCAATGACATCAGTGTTTTTTTCTATAGAGTAAGGGAGGGCTTCCAAGTGTTGTACCTACAAGGGGACAACAGCCTCCCAAGCATAACAAAGGAACGCCACAATGCTCAATTTCCCTCGGGTATCTCGTAAAGCTTAAAGTGAGTCGGAAAGGTAAAGGTGTTATATTAATTGCAGTAAAGTAACATGTAATGTCTTCAATGAAGGGGCAGTGGGAGGTAGCCTAATGGTTAAAGCGTTGGCTCCTCGCGCTGAGGAGCCAGGTTCGAATCCCCACATGGGTACAATTTCTGGGTGTCCCCCGCCGTGATGTTGCTGGAATAATAAGCTAAAGCGGCGTAAGAATAAAACTCCCTCCAGTCAGTCAGTCAGTCAGTCAGTCAGTCAGTCTTCAATGAAGAGCTCAGCTGACGGATGTGCATTTCAGGGGATTCTCTGTGTCATCGTTAAGATGAATCGTTATTCAGCACAGGTAAACTGAACTTCCTCATGGTGGGTCATACGCATGAGATGATATAGACCAGATGTTTTCCAGAGTTTCCCCAGGCCCTCCACCGCAAGTCCGCTCCGACATTTGGCAGGTTGTTCGAGGTTTGAAATCTGCCTGTCGGCCTGAGAGAACTCCCATTCAAAATTGCTCCGGTCTTGGATTTTAAGGCCGTGGTTTTCATGATGCGATGCATTACAAGAGACATTCCATCCCCCATGTTTCCGCGAATCTACATAAAAGGCAGCCAACTTACATTGGCCTACAAAGACTGGCCTCTACCTAATAAGAATATACCCAGTATGAACCCCATACATCTGTATGTTGTAGGCCACTCCTCTACTACCATCGATGTTTTTAGAAGAAGGCATAGAACAGAGATCTTCAAAATGAAACAATCAGCTCAGTTTTAAGCCTTCTATGATATAGATGACTGGGGGTTGATACTTTTAGTCACTGTCCACAACAGTTCATCCTGAAGTAGAATTCAAAGGACTTTGAGGTTGACAATGCTGCCTGCAGCAGAAGAAAAGAGATTACCTGAATATTTGGTGCAACACTTCCAGGAAGAATCAACAGAAACATATCCTAGGAAGTTCCGGGTTCGTGAATACATACTTTTTATGTGGCTGTATATGCACTGTATCTTTTCACTTTTTAACATATTATTAGACTCATAACTTAATTCCTGTATTAACATGCATTGTTTGTGACTCATATTGAGATTAAGTTCATTGTGATGGGCTTTCATCAGCTTCCTCCATTTACTGAAACCCTACTGGACAAATAGGCTTTAGCGTAATGAGACAAGCATTGATGTGAAAATGATTCGATCTCATGAATCCGGTTGAGATACAGGGAATAGATGGCATATTGGCATATTCCCAGCGAGCCTCAACAAAACAGACATGTTTCTTCTTAGAATTCTAGCCGCCGCCATATGGCTGGAATAATGTTGCTGACTGCGGCGTAAAACTAAACTCTACTCTTAGAATTCTGAACAGTCTCACCGGGGTCCTATGTTCCAAGTAAAACAGCCCTTGCACCAATTTGGGATCTTAAGAGACCAAATTCCGACATATTGCTGTCGGCTTATATTTATGATGTGTTCTGGCACCTTGTGTCGAATTTCTAACTTCCTGATAGATATCAAAAGTGATTTTGATTTTGGAATATTTCCCCAGGTGTCTGTCTGAGGGAAGAGGATGACCACAATAGATGTTTTCTAAAAAATATCCACACAAAAAGCCCCTCAGAACCTTCATGCCGCCATATAGCTGGAATATTGCTAAGTGCGGCGTAAAGTCATTTCTTCCCTCACTCGCTCAAAGCTTCATGGAATTAAGCGTGTACTTTAAAAAGGTCTATTACTTATCAAATTTTTGTTTTGTACATGCTTCCGCGCCATTTTGTGAAAATACTCGTGTATATAGATTTTGTAGATTGCTTTGGACTCGTTGTTTCCAGAGTTGTTTATGTAAATTGATGTATTTATGTAAAATGATATATTTCAAGACGATTGAGTCTGCATATGATTTTATTTATGTATTTGGGTTCTGCTCAAAGGTATTTGCTTGATTGGTGTGTAAATGGAATTTACTAAAGGTATGTATGGAAGGGGTGGTAGTGCCATAGCCTAAATGGTTCCAACATCTTCATGAATATTACTTTCATCTTCATATATGATGATACCACAGCATGTACGCAGAAGATAATTTCATCTGCGTAGAAAATCACGTTTTTCTTCTTATATAATTATTATAATCGCCCGTGACTCGGATGGGTGATATTGTTTTCTGTTTTGGAGATTTGAAGATTGAAATTAAAGGGATTTCAGTTGTGAAAATACAAAAAGGCCAAATGAAAATATACCATCAACATGTTCCAAAACGTCTAAATAAAATGGGTGTGTGTATGTGGAAGCCGGTCCTGGAGTAGAGCTAGGGCTCACTTTATTATTCGTTACACTGCTATACACTGGAGTCTAACAGACCTTGTAGTAAGAGGGTCGTCAGCGAAGCCTTTGAGGCGACCTGCATGACCGTCCCGATCAGACGCGAGACGACCGATCAGATTTAACCAGTCGGACCGAGGAGGCTGCTATTTTAGGGTTCGGCCGGACTTACAAAATGGTTTTGGGATTTTCTATAAATGCACAATCGCTGACTTGCAGTCTCTCAACAAACGAAAACTCTCAAAAGGTTAGCTGACGCGACCTTCTGCTGGGATTCCAGTAGACTCAATTATAGCAGTGTAACGTATAATACTGGAGCCTAAGTTGACTCAGAAGACTGGCTTCACATACACCATTTTATTTAGATCGTTTGGCAACTTATCAAATGCATCAGACCTTAAAAGATCTCCAATATATGTGTATATGTTCCTGACACTTGTTTCATTAATAAATCACGTTCGTCCTCAATGATATATATTTTTCCAATGAAATTTGATCGTAAGTATAATATAGGAACGAATTCGAATCGGTTACCATAAAACCAAGAAAAGAATTTTTGTCAAGTGTTGCTGATAGTTATAGACTCACATTAGATAGATGTTTCTCAAGCCACAAATTTGTAAAACTAGAGTTTGTATCGCAAGTGCGATCAGACAGTTTCACAGCATTGTGGACTCAAATGTTTAGAAACACGCTTTCGTTACAAATTTACATACCTCCACACCTGAAAAAAACATGAATTTTCAGCAAAGTAGAAAATTCTCGTCCATGGGCCAAATGTTTCTTCAACCATGGGAGATATCTTCAATATCGCTCACCATTAGCCGAATTAAATGCAATGAGTTAAATGTTGTGTCATGATACTTTTAAACATTCATTTACAACCCCACAAAACCCGTGAATTCTGGAACAGAGAATTAAACATTCTCGCCCGCTTGTTCCGGGGTCATTGCCATAGATGGACCTCAGAGTCAAAGCCACGGGCATGGCGAAGACGATATGAAGGTAAACAGCGTGCCATTACCCATCATGTCGGAAGGGCATCTGCTGACAAGGTGTTGAACCAGTTTCTGTAAATTCATTTGCATAATCGACATTTCATGCAAACATTTTCTTTAGAAGAATCACATTTAGGCGATTGCAGATGGGGAAGTGACTGGTCCTGTCCCCTCAGTTTCACATTTAAGAGCAGCCGACTTCATCCAGACAAAGGGAGTCAGTTGGATTGCTATTCTGCTCCATACCGCTGCATGTATACACGATGCAATGGTCTCTCAGAAATCCTCTCCACAAATGACCGGACTCTGGAGCAGTCTTGGTGAAGGGACTGAATCTGGTTTACTCCATCGCTGTACATCAGCCATCAACAAAATCAGCCTCAAATTTCAGATTGTGTCCAACAACCTTGGCATGCTTAAAATGGCTGTGGGAATTCCCTTGCTTTCATCATGAGTCTTGACATTACGCATCACCAGGGGTCATCCGACAAATAAATATTTGCAAAAGTACACAATAAAATTCTATCATGAAGTGCCTCCATTAATCATCAACACCCTGACCTCAGGAATTGATTGGCATATATAAACGATATAAGAGGAGGAACGAGGGTGGTGGGCTCTGTTATCAGACATGATATTCTCTGGTCAGGCGGTTGAAGATCCAATCAGTCTACTCAAGTACTCAAAGGAATAGGAAAGGACTGGCACAGCAAAGTATTGAGTGGCGTTGACCTTGTTTCAGAGTATTTAGCTTTGAGCTCCAGGTTTTCTTTAAACGGAGTTATATATGTATCATTATTAGTTGCGTAAACAGTACAATTAACCACGTTTCCTGGCATTACCTTATTACTATTCAATGACACCTTGATCTCAGAGACACAGAGTATGTGACACTGTGACAATGCATTATTATGATATTGTGGTCTTGGTGCATGGAGCCCAGGTCGTAAATCAGCTGAAGTTAATCACTTTGGCCGCGGACAGTCCTTGGATGGAGTTGATCATGTTTGTGCAGCTTGACTCCTGGACCCGGTTGTTTCCAAAAACTCGGTTACATCTTTAACCAGCCATTAAGTACGTTTAACCGACTGTTACCTTTATTACAGAGGGTTATCTTGTTGTTCAAGAGCTCTGTTAACTTTTAACAGGTTGTTAACGTGACGTTAAGTTAACACACACCTAAGGACCGCCGCTAACGTTTTAACAGTGTGGTTAACTCGCGCAAATGGCGTTCATGGCTAACACTTGGCACCGTGATTGCTTATCGGTTCGGCGAAGGATACATAGGTGTATCGTGGACTGGACTTCGATATTGGAAATTATTCTGACGAAAGGTTACATACGAAACTGTAATGGCTTATGCATCATCAAGAACTAAAATGCATGTTGTACAAGTACATGATGCCTACGTTTCATCTTTTAACACTTGTGTAAAGGTTTATATTTGCTTTACTACACTAAATGTGAATTTCTTCTGTAAATATTATTCAAACAAAACACTTTTAAAGAATAAAACACGTACACCCTCTACACCCACGTATATGATATTGAACAAGGCTAAATGTAGATAGTCAAATTAGTTTCATGAAAAAATATCCGAACGATTACATTTATGATACTGAAAGTGTAATGGGCGGGATATGGTGATTGTGTATACTCTTATTCTGCCCTCGACCTTCACCTCAGAGAAATTGCCAAATACACTCCTACTTTAAGAAGAGAAGAAGCCAGATATGCCGATTAATTCCGTTGTCGTTCTGCAGGATTTTTACGTCAGTCTGCGTGATTTTGCGTCAGTCATGGCGTCACGCAGCACAGAAACTGAGACAGTTTCGTCTAAACACATTACATTCCTGTATTGTATCTATTTTTAATTTCCTATTTCTTGCTACTATGTTCTTTCCATGCAAATGAAAATGCTAAAATGCTGTGCGTAAAGTCTGAAATTTTCTTTGTTTACATTTCAAACAGGTGTTGTTTTTCGAGCACAGCATTTGTTTCCACCCCTAATATCTTTCGTTTCAGTTTATCTGGACACTTGGTATTGGTGACAAAAGACCAGTTGTAATTAGATTCTAAAATGTATGAGAATTTCACTAGGGCTGGGACGAGTAGGAAAAAATGGAATCGAGTACCAGCATAAGCACTTTACCCAAATCGGAATGGAGTACCGGAAATGTAAAGAAATAGATTCGGGTCAACTTTCTGAATATTCAATCACGATTTGACAGAGTTATTATAGTAAACTGAAAAGGTGGTAATAAGACATTAAAACTGACTTCAAGCTTATTTAAGTTACGTCTGTTTAACCAATATAGAGAGTAACACCATTATTTACATTCCTCGTTATAACAACGAACGTTTCGTTCCTGCTGCTACTGTCCACTTAACTACTCAAACTGCTCATGCACAGATAAATTACAACAGCTCATCATGCACGAGATAAGTTAGTCATTAAAACTATGCTCCATTAATCAGGACAATACCAATGATGCGCAAAACCAAGTAGTTTCCGGGTTAGAATATTGATCTTCAGTAACCCATGCTTGTCGTAAGAAGGCGACTAAGCGGGATCTAATTGGTCAAAGGGCTCTCTGATTTGGTTGACACATGTCATCGGTTGCCAATTGCGCACACCGATACTCATGTTATTGATCCGCTGGATTGTCTGGTCCAGACTCGATTATTGTCACAGACCGCCACCATATAAGCTGGAATATGGCTGAGGTGCGGCGTAAAACCTAAACTCACTCACTCACTCAATGATTAGCAAATGTGTGTTACGTCAAAATGAAAAAGACAAGCTATTGTCTGCCCCTGTTCAAAGTTTGAAAGTCTATGCTTCAAGAAATTGTCCGGTTTTGTTTTGATGTGTCCGTCTGGCATCCCTTCCCACAGATGGATTTTAAATATATTTTTTTTACACTTCAATCTGTTTCAAAGCAATAGGGTATAATTCTTTTCGTTCTTCGAGATGTTTTGGTTCGAAATAGATCATCTTTTTAAAATGCTATATATAAATTGATGAAACTTTATTGGCATAAACATTGCTCTCGCAACTGATGTGTGGGAAAATAAACAAAACATTATTATGTATCTATTATTTCTGACGGTGTTATGCGGGCCACTGCTTCGTAGTCAACAATTTTGATGGAGAGCGTTATATTTGAATATCAGGAAACCTTTTGTCACAGCTAACACAACACTATCTCTGCTACATCGAGTAATATTTGGAATTTTTAACTTATGGTTATAAAGAATATCTGAATACTATTGTTATACACTGATAGGTTTATATAAGAATACAATGGCACAACAGTATTTCTCTGCCGAATCATTGCAGTTGTTCTATAATACACTTATGAAATATAATACATGTTTTCCGTCATTGAAGACGTTAGAAAAGAACTATCTATGCATTTTCTGTAGTCACTTGTAGATTAGACTAAATGGAGGTTCACCTGATTAATGCGAGGTATCGAGGATTATGTTCATCTATAAATTAGACGCAGCTTCATGTTTTTCAAGACATCTTTCGGAATATGCGTCTATGAAGGCGTTCGAGATAATGGCGATGTTGTACGGTATTATTCATGTAACGGTATACTGTATTATTCGTTATACAGTAAAAAGGTCGGATAATAGATCGGTTTTATTCAGCAGTGTTGGCCCTGAGGCCTAAAGAAGTTCAATTACAGTGTGATCCTTGCACGTGGTGCTAGTAACATATTAAGTTTCTATTGGCATTGAATGCATATTTCAGATAAAGCTAATGGTATTATTTTCCAAGAAACATCTATATTGTTTGATGTTAAAAGATTTAGGTAATGTTTGTTTCATGCATTACATAATGTTTGACAGACTTAACCAATAATTAATACATTATATTGATAGCATCTCAATGAAGCTTAGCCATGAGTCATGACAAGTTAAGGCGTGAAAGTGAGCGATAGGTGTTGTAGGAATGCAAAGACTGGCAGCCGTCTAAGCGTAACTCCTGTTTATAATATTTATACATTTGTTTATCCACGGTTAAATATGCTTCTAATATTAATATTATTTTCATGGATTCATCATATTTTATCTATAAGCTGTGCTATAGTTTTTCAACAAAAATGTCTTTTTCTGTTGTCGGAATTAGAGTAAGTCCACACACAGAGCTGGGATCATATGTCTAAAATATATATATTATGCAAACGGCTGGAACCTTTGTGTTCCCAATACAAAACGTTCATAGTACTACGTTCGCAATACCTATGATAAACTATAGAGTTAGCCTCCCAACCATTTGGATGGGATTAAATTCTCTTCGTCAGCAGAGAGATGTTTCGACTTCTCTCTTGTCCTTTTGGGGTGCAGGAAGGACATTTTCCGTTTCCATTTTTGGTAAAGCCGGAAGAAACAGAAAACGGAATTATGGATATATATGGAAGCTAAGTGACGTTAACCACGCTGTTAACTTTGACGGTGACAGATTAGCTAACGGCATGGCTAACCATGTTTTGAACAATCGTGATGATAACGTTCGGATGCCACAACGGCCGGTTTAATCCTTAACGGCCGTTAGGTATCCGAACGATAAATATATGCGTTAAGATAACCGGCGGTTAAGATGGCCGAGTGGTGAACGAAGCCGGGCCCTGAAAGTTACTGGGACTTCTTGTCAGGCACACATGACATGTGTATCACCTTTAGGTAAAACGAATTTGTTCAAGACTGCGCTCTGTTCACCCAGCGGTGAATGGGTACTCGATGGGATATGCCTGACTATTAGCCTTCTATCGCCTCACAGACAGCCTGGGTTATCCGGGGTTATAATGTACATTAAGTTGTTTGTGCTAACAGGCATGACCTTAGGGGCGTAGGGTTCTATGACATTTCTGGTGTCCCCACGCCGTGATATTGCTGGAATGTTGGCTAAGCGGCGTGAAACTAAAATCACTCACTCCAGATGTAATTATGCAGAAATCCAATCCACTGTTATTGTTATTGCGATTATGACCACAGGGAACGTTATAAGTTGTAGTTGTACGTTTTAAAAGATCGATTATATATTCAAAGTCGACTATTGTTTGATGAGTGAGTGAGTGGTGGTGAGTGAGTGAGTAGGTAGTTTTTCATACTTTTTAGCATTATTCCACAATAATATAACGGCGGGGACACCAGAAATGGAAGCTTCACATTGTACCCATGTTCGGAATCAGACCCAGGTCTTCCGCGTGACGAGCAGACGCTTTAACCACTAGGCTACCCACCGCCCCTATTGGTTGGATGAAGATGACATAAGCTCTAAAGTACCAGTACAATCCTGCTATAAATATTTTAGCATTGCTTAAATACTTGCTTTTTCCAGATCAATACAGCAGTCTCCTCTACGAGATTGCCAGGCGTGAGTTCCGACGCGACTGAACCAGAATGGTTAAGTTTCAGAGCTCTCGGCTTTCTTTCCGGTTTTGTTATGGACTTTCAGCACTGCGGATCAAGGAGGCGGAAGCTTCTGGAGGGATGGAACCAAGTTGCAACAAGGGTTTCAAAACAGATTCCAATGTGACAATTTGTGTAGGCAAGTTAAAAAGCTGTAGACTGGCGGTGTACAGTTACCAAGAACGTACATGTTTGATCAGAGCATTTCAACCCGGAACGTGTGACTCCAGATGCTCCAGGACACGTACTCGGTGGTAAAGAGGTATTTCTAGATTTAGAATTTTTAGATTTTTAGTGTTGCCAGCAGGGAAGTTGTCTTTTGTTTTATTTGTTTGTTTAACGCCGCACTCCCAGTAATATTCAAACTATATGAAGCTTGCGGTCTGTAAATAATCGAAGTCAGGACCAGACAATTACGAATTTATCAAAAATCGCTGAGCATCGATCTACGCAATTGGGATACGATGACGTGTGTCAACCAAGTCAGCGAAACCTGACCGCCCGATCCGTTAGTCGTTTTATACGACAAAAAATGGAGTTCTGGAAGACCAAATCTAACCCGGATCTTAACCGGGGCGGCAGGGAAGCACACAAATATGGCATTTGTCGGAGGAATGTAAAACATGCTAGCAATGCTAAAGCTTTTTTTAATAAAATTCTGCATTAAACATGCGACTGGACCTCGGGAAGTTGCGAATACTTCGTTAATAATCCTCCCAAAGGGTTTGCTATCGCAGTGTTTTTGCGAACTGCACAGAAAAAACTACGAATATTTCGCCAATAATCAACGGGCTTGGAATCAATAAATCCGCTAAGAAGTTGCCAATAATTATCCATATTAATGTAAATATTTGTTTTATGGACATATCGAAGTTTAACAGGACTCGTCAACACACGGATTAGTCCATTTGTGTGGAATAGGTAACAGGCAGTGGATTAACAGTGCAACGAATACCGTAAAACTATGTTATTATAAGCTGTAGGGGTAGTGGCATGTAGGGTAATGGTTGGAGGTTGCCGGCTGGCTATGTCATTTACTCTTCGTTTGGAAATGGATTCTAATGAAACTCTAAATGGAATGCAGTTAAGTCAAAAGATACATTGTAGGTAAATAAATACAAATATATAAACATCTTGTCCGTAAATATTTATTTTTTTAAAGAAATTGCATTGTTCCTGTCTTTTTGAAATGCACCTCTCTATATGAACTTGCAGAATAGACGTTTTCCCATGATTGTTAAGCTATGCTTCAAAGAGACAAAGCGCTTTACCTAGAACGGAGGATATCACAATCAAAGACAGTCAGGTCCAGTAGGTGCAGTTATTTAACTTAACTAGCTTGCTGGAATTAATTTCAGCATAAGACGTTATAAAGAGGGTCAGTGATTTCAAACAGTCGGTATAATAAAATCGAAATGAGGGGACAACTAAAGATATTTAGCACATATTACTAGATAGAAGAATGAACATTATCATCCAAAGTATCACAGATAACTTCAAACATACAGAAAGAGAGTTAATGACAAGGCAAACATAAATAATCTTGAAATTATCCTGAATTTACCTTGAATTACTTGACTGACAGTGGAATGCGTTTCAGATAAAGGAACCTGAATAAATCGTTAAATTAAGTTTGCAAACCGATTTCAATCTTCCCGTATTTCCGATATCTCATAATTATTTGACTTCAAATGCGTATTATATATTTTATAGGCAATTATCAGCCTGACGACACATTAAAAAACATTTCTAAAAAAAATAATCGAAACACGTTCGCCGTAAAACAAATCAATATTTTCAATGTCATCACATATTTTATTCAAATGGCATTATTACGTTTATACAATGTGTCATGTCATGAAAATTGCAGAATAAGATACGTGATTTATGAATATTCACGAATCCTGATTTCAAGTGTAATGGTTCATTATTTTCGACACAAGCCCACAGAAAACCAGCGTTATACCGTATTTGCATGGATAAGAAAAAATAAACATGGCGCGCTTCGTCCAGCCCTTACATGTGTGTAATATTTCTATTTTGATAAGAACAAAGCTTTCAGGACTTACGTATATAATTCCTGGCGAAAAAGTTGAAGCATTTCCCATTCTACAAGTGTTTCAAGTATCATTTTCAGTTTAATATGACCAGAGAGAAGAAATTTAGATCGAAAACATTAGATTAGTCAAAGGTCACCGAATGTAATGTCACGGACAGGGGTTGTCTGGTAAAAATCTTTCGTTAATGAATACAAACAGTAAATTTGGAGATATTTCGTCTGGCAAAACCAAAAATCTAAATACACAAATCACTATTTAGAATGATTAATCATAGATCATTAGGAAAAACAACTGCATGTTTTGACTCTATAATTGGCATATCACGAAACCAGTTTGACCGTGTATACTCCGTGACTCAGAAACAGTAGTCGATCAACACTCCACATGCAAAGTTTCTCAGTATCTTTTTTATTTGAACATTTGTTGATATTAGGACCACCACTTTATTCTACACTGGAATATGCACATAAAAACATATAATTGTGAGGCATGTTGGATGTTACTGGTTTGTTTGTTTATTCCGCTTTGTTCTACAACAACGCTTTACAAACATCGGCTCAACAACAGGTGCGCGGAATGGGCGTGAGACACAATTTGTGGTTCAAAAGAATTAACATTCATGCTCTTCTTATTGAGACCAAAATGATGCATTACGCGGTACATATGTATTATATTATATACCTAAACTATAGGTATCCATTATATTTAACGGTAAGAATTAAGGGAT